CAGCCTCCTTCTGCCCTCCCATGCTTTCTCCCAGAACCGATTTTGAAGACACGCGTCGCTTATTAGTATGCCAAGCTTTGTGTTGCCTTTTATCACCGCTGGAACAGATGGCTGGGCTTGGACCGCTGCCCTTCGCTTGCAGATAGGCTGGTTCATTTGGTGGCAGTGGTGAGAACAGGTATGAGCTGCAGGAAACGTCCCTCTGTGAGGCAGGAAGAGGGGACAGACAGCAGCAGGCAGCTGCCCGTGCGTTAGGCCAGAACAGTGGCTGTGGAGCCAAGGGCTGTTCGTAAACAGGGCTGCTGGAGATGATCCCAGTAATGAGCTTGGGTGATGCTTAAGAAGGTAGGACACACCTGGCAGAGAGCCATGCTGCAAGGATGGTCCCCTTCCTGTCCTTGGAGAAGGGCAGGTCGTAGCACCTGCTGTCCCCTTCTCAGCATCAGGGTGTTGTCCGCAGTTTTAATGTGGTGGAACTCACTTTGTCATTTTGCATAGAGCTGGCTTAAAAGGAAGGGTACCCACTCTGTTCCTGGAGCTGAGATCCTCCCAGCCCTGCAGACAAGGGCGGTGGCTGAGATTGGTTGTCCTAGGAGATCTCTGGTCCACAGCTCCCTGCCCATCATGTCTGTGATCCACACAAGCCAGCAATTACCTGTCCCAGAGTCCAAGCAGGCAGTTCCCCAATCAGCCTGTGATGTTTCTGGGATGCTCACACATCCCTTAATGTTCTCAGCTCCCTGCTGTGCCTCCTGGAAAGCTGTTCTGGTGTTATGCTCCAGCAGAGCCACCTCTTCCATCCCTCTGAGCACAGTGAGAAGATCTGGTGGGTGCCGTTCTCACTGAGATCCTGGTTATGTCGTGCCTCCAAGCTTTCCAGTGCTTTCCAAGCATTCATGTGGTAGAGCCAGAAGCCCCTTAAGCAGATGGACTAGTGGTCTCTTCCAACCTTAATGATTCTAAGCCTATGGCTGCCTTGGTGTGTATGTCTTCAAACAAAACAGATGGGAATTTTTTTGGAGGACTTCCCTTCATTTTCCATCCATCTCTCCTTCTTCCAGGCAGGGAAGAGGTGAAGTTCTCAAGAGCAAGGAGCCAATTAATTTGTACTGGTCCAGCAGCGCTTGGTCTGGGCGGACAGTGTGCTAATCACCATCTTGACAGTGGGAGCTTAAATTAGATTTAAGGAGCACTTTCAAGTAACAGGGCTGACCCTGCCGATAAGGCTTTATGAAACACGTATTAAGAGATGCTAAAGCTTGTCTTCTCTTGAGCTAAAAAATAAGGTCCAGTGCTGATGAGGCACTGTGAAGCAACAGGGCTTTAGGGCTGCAAATAAACCTCTCACGTTAGATGCTGAGCAAGGGTATTGTTGTCTGTTTTCCATTTTGCTATCATGAGAAGGGACCAGTGATAGGGATGTCTCTCTGTCCCATGCAGCTCTCACATGGGACAGCTGTAGCATAGGCTCTGTGAGCAGAGGGCTGACTGAGCAACCACAGGTGGCCATGGTCAGCCTTTTCCTGTTGATCTGATGCCCAACATCAGAGTTTGTCTGCTGCATCTCCAGTGCAGATGCACTGTTTGCAGTCAGTGTCTGCAGTGTAGGTGTAGCATCATGTCCCAGCAGCAGAGAAAGTTGTCACATCTCCTCAGGATATAGGCGTTCTGGGGTGTCCATAGTCAGCACCTGAAGTGCAGGCATACCATAGCATTTACAGCCAGCATCTGCAGGACAGGTGTGCTGTAACATCAGCAGTCAGCATCTGTAGTGCAGGTGTTCTGCAGTGCTGTTATGGGCACGTGCAGCGCAGGCAGAGCTTCATGCCTACCATTGGTGCAGGTGTACCACAGCAGCTGCAGTTGGTGTCAGTAGTGTGGGCTCACCGTAGTGCAGAGCCCATGGACGGCTCTTGGCGGAGCTGCAGTGGAGACATTCAGGGAGGAAATGAATTAATTGAGGTTTTGGGTTTTTTTCTCTTCTGGATCACCACTAGGGAGCTGGGTCCTGTAACAGCAGAGCTGGGGGGAATTTCCTGACAGAAGGCTGTCGAGCGGTCATGAGGTTTGGAAACCAAGGCTGCTTCTGCACATCTCTGGCAGATGCTTGCAGGATGGCCAAGCGCTTTCAGCAGGCCGTAGCTGGTTGCTACCTCATTAACCAGCAAGTGTCTCCATGGCTTTGGGGATCACATTAACAGGAGGTGGGAAGGGATCTGAGCCAATGAAGAAGAGGACCCTGGGACTTGCAGCAGAGGTTGGCATCTTGTTTTCTGGCTAGATACCTACTCCCCATCCTTATGCTGCCAGTCCCACCTCATCACACCACACCAGTTCACATCTCATTGCTGTGCCCCTCACCCTAGCTCAGGGGCAGGCATGGGTCTTGTCTTCTCATCTTCGTGCTGGCCACATCTTGCTTACAAAGAGCCTGTCTGACCCAGGGGAAGTGCTGCTGGAAGCACATTTGGATAGAATGAGAATTGCTGGAGTGGATCATGCTCATGTCCACATTGAAACAGCCTCTAAGAATGACCATCAGAGCTCTACTTTCCACTCTGCTGCCAAGAAATAATTCACCGCAGGGGCAAAAGCAAATATTGCCCGAACTGCTTTTCTGCAGAAGATTGAGTTCCCCACCACTGAGTTTGCTGTGATACAAATGTGGTTCCCTGCTGTCACCTTTCATATGTTTCCTGCAGGAACAGGGACACAGCCCAGGGTCCCTTCTGTTCAAGCACGACTGGTGCTCTGCTGTATGCTGCCCCGTGCAGCTGCCTGTCAGGGTGCAGGCATCTGTTAGAAACACCATTAGATGAGCACATGCAGCCAATGGAAATTTGCATTGGAAGCATGTGCAGAAATGTTGGAGGTTTTGTTATGTGTTTGGAAAAAGAATAATAATGGCTTTGGGCAAAACAGACAAACGAAGCAAATGCTGCATGGGAAATTGTGATTTGAGTGAGGAAAAGTTGGTTTTCTCTCTAGATTTTTCACACTGAAATAGCTCCGATTCCTGCCTGGCTGCAGGGCTTGTCTCTGAGATGAAATGGAGATTTTCAGGGGCAAAAACAGCTGAGCAGTGGGAACTCTGTGCTGGCACTGGGCACTGTGGGCTCCCAGAGGACCGTGGCCATTTCCCTGCTCTCTTCTGCCCTTGTAAGCCAAGCAGCATCACTCTTGAGAATCCCCTCCCCGTGGTACCCATTTGTGCACGGGTCTTGCCTCAGGGGAGACTGCCAGGCAGGCAGGCAGGCAGGAAGAAGCAGCAGCAATTATTTTAATGACTTGATAAGATGAGGAGCAGGAAGGGTGGGAGGCTGTGATCCCCAGGAGGAGCAGTAGATGTGAGATTGGGAGTGTGATGCTTGAGATAACAACAGCACTGAGGCTGCAGTGAGCAGCCTTGGGTGGCTGCATCCCCACTGGGATGGGGACATGAATGGCAGCAGTGTCACACAGGATGTGGTGAGGATGAGTGCAGGATGCAGATTGGGAAGCTGGCATGGGGAAAGGAGGAGCAGAACAGAAGCACAGTGAGTGATAACGATGTAGTAATTAGTGGTAAATCTCCTCAACCCGAGCTTTCAAAGGTCATTATCTCTACTTTGCAGGCGGGGAAACTGAGGCACAGGGAGAGTGATTTGTTCACGGTGACCCGGGAGGGCAGGGGTAGGTGCCATGGTGTGTGAGGATCTGCTCTCACCACCAGTCCTCGTGGTGCAAACTTATTGCCATCAATCCAGTCCTGTCTCTTCTCTGCGCTCCCCATTTTCAGTGCCCCATCTGCTGCCCTGGAGAAGCATTTGGAGCTGGGCTGGTCCCACTGCCCTGCAAAACCTGTGTGCCCAGCCATGCTTGCTTTCCTATCCAGCCCACAAAAATCTCATGTCCTGCTGCGAACTCGAAGCCATCTGGGCTCCTGCATGGGCTGTGTTGGTAAGGGAATATGTTTTGCTGGGTTTTTTTGTGTGTGTTTTTTTTTTTTTTTTTTCTGGCCGATGCAGCTCCCCCTTTATTTAGGTCTAAATGGATGCCATCTGGCTAACGAGCCTATACTCATGTTCTAGATTAAAAGGCAATCCTCCACGCGTTACCAGTACGACGCTTTAGATTAGAGAGGTTTAAACGGTTGTGAAGGTGTAATTTGCTTTTCACGCAATGCTGTTCACCTCCTGGCAGACAGGCTGGCAGCACTGCCATCCCCAGCAGCTCCCTCCTGCCCTGGTCCCCTGCATCAACCTTATTTGCCGTGTGACCAGGGAGGGTCATGCTGTTTCTCTTGATCCCAGAAATGCTGCAGCATCTGCATCTTGCATATCCTAAGCACAGAGCATTGTCATGGAGAGGTGGGATATGGCTCCATCTCTTATGAAGAAAAGATAACTCCAGGTTGCTTATCTTGATTGGGTTACACATGCCTCTTTGTAGTCCATTTGCAGGCAGATGCTGAAGGGAGCCCAGCCCCAGGGCTTGACTTCTTGGGGAGAAGTTGAAAAGCAGAGGAGAAAAAGAGAGCAGTTGTGCAAGGTGTATCATAGCCTGCACCTGCACCTGCAGGCACCTAAGTCTGTTGGCAGCTCTGTTGGAAAGTGCCACAGGCCATGGAACCATGAAGTGTATGCTGACAAAACACCTCCTTTTGCTGTACGTTCTCCCATTGTGGACTGAAATTTTGCTGCGTGGCAGCACAGAATCACAGAATGGCCAGGGTTGGAAGGGACCTCAAGGATCACGAATCTCCAACCCCTCTGCCACAGGCAGGGCCACCAACCTCCCCATTTAATACTCGACCAGGATGCCCAGGACCCCATCCAGTCTGGCCTTAAACACCTTTAGGCATGGGGCATCCACAGCCTCTCTGTACAGCCTGTTCCAGCACCTCACCATTGTCATGGTATCCCCTTGCTCCTCCCGTGCAGGGTCCAGCTCTGGGTGCACTGCTTGCAAGCTCTCCTGTGGCAAACCGTGACTGCTTCTGTCTGTGCTTGCTTCCACAGATGGCCAATCCTGTCCCGTCAGCCTGCTGCGTGGTGCTCGCCGCAGTGGTGGTGGTGTATGCTCAGAGGCACAGCCAGGGTGAGTCTTGTCCCATCTCCAGGGGGATCTCAACAAATGCGGGTGCTGCTCCTCTAGCCTCTTTTCTAGCACAAGCTGGGTGTGCTTGTTGCATTTTCTTGATGTTATATTTCTGGATGTCATTGTTTTCTCCTCTGCTTGATGTGTGCATCCCCTCCTGCCTGTGCTAGGGATTTGGACATCCTGTGTCCCACCAGCACCTGCTGGTCCTTCTTGGTGCACTTCCTCCTGTCCAGACGCCTGCTTGTTCCAGGATGCTCCTGCAACCTTTCCCATCCCTTTTACTCCTCTTCTGCACCATGAAAGGAAGGGAGGCTGGGAAGAAGCAGAGCATGACAGCCCCAGTGCCTGACACCCAATCCCACAGCTATCACTGCTGCCCCGTTGTGCTGTGATCTCCTTGGGGTGATTTTGTCCTCACCTCACATCTGTGCCCACCATTAGCTCATGCCTCTCTAGGTGAGCAGAGGATCTGGGGCTTTGGAGAGACGATATTTTAGAGTCACTGATGGTATTTGGAGCTGGAGGACCCCATGCCACCTTGGGTCCAGACCTGAGCAGGACGTTTTTGGGCAATTGTCTAGGTTTCTCTATGGAGTCACTTGTGGCAGCCCTGTAAAAGAGAACAGAATGGGGGGCCTCCATGGTTTTCCTGACAGTCAGCAGTTGCTTTCAGTGGGTTATGGAGCGGAGTTTTGCTGGCTAGCTCTGATAAGAATACCTGTGCATTCATGGACTTGGTGGGGTTGAAGAATCCTGCAGGAGCACCTTACTGACTTGCTCTAAATCCAGATGGGTGGTTTTGTGCAGCCCTGCAGCTGGGATTTGGTGGCATGTGGGTTTGCTTGTCTTTCCTGCCCAGAACTCACCCCTTTCTCCTAGCTGCAGCCTCTCTCATCCCCTGCCCTCATCCCCTGTCTGCACTTGCCGCTTAGGCTGGAGAAGTGGGGCTGGAAGATGAATGAATCCCATTGATGGCAGTGACTGGATGGAGTGGGGGAAGATGCAGGTGTAGAGTCCATTTATCACGCTCTTGAGGCACGCTCAACTTTAATAGCTCATGAAGCACTTTAAGAGACGCATTAGCACTGAATACGTGAGCAAGGAGGATGTGACAAGCTGTTAAGCAAATGGAAGCACTGTGCAGCAAGGCTGGCCACCCGCTTCTGGCTCTCACGTGCACACTGGTGATTACTGGAGCGTCCTGCATTGTGCCACATGAATCTATAAAAGCAGCATTGGATGTAGCAGTGGTGAGGTTGCTTGTGTGTCAACTCCTCTGCTGCTCATCTTTGCTCCTTCTCCTTGGAGCAGGAGGAGTGAAGGGCACTTTTCTTTTGGATGCGACACCCCAAGCCCCAAGTTTTTGGGGTGGAAATAAACCTGAGGGGACGTGCATCAACTGCCCTTCCTCCATCCCTCTCTAGAACAGTCTTGCTCCAGGGAAGTTTGCTTCTGGCAAACTAATTTGGTGATGCCCACACCATGCTTGCTTTACCTGAACATGGGTTAATAACCACCATGCCTGAGCACACAATCCTTGTGGGCTACCTAGCTACCAGCCAACAGGATCCCCCCCCTTTTGTACTGTTCCTTTCCTTGGTATCCATGGTAGATTGCTAAAGGTAAGTGTCAAGCGGAAGACACAAGGGTGGATTACTCAGTGAGGTTTGATGAGTGAATGGAGGTTGCATGGTGTGCTCACTGTCCATCCCATTGCTACCGAAGCAGACACTCTGCACTGTGAGTGCTGTGGTGCGTGCTGGGTGGCTGTGCTGCACACAGTATGCTGCACCTGCATGAGTGGTGCTGCAGCAATCCATGCAAGAGGCAGCTCTTAGGTCTTAGGTGCCATGACCAGAGAGAGCCCTGTCCCCATCCGTCAGCCTTGCCAGAGTTATATACGCAGCTGTTCCAGATTGAGATTTCTCTGCTTTTAAAAGAGGAGTAATTCTGTTTTATTGATCCTCACCTTGCTGAATTAACTCGCGTTTAAACAATAATTATGTTTTCACGTGGGAGAGGAGAGAAGGAGATGAACGTCTCTGGAAATTAATGCATTTCAGGCGCCGCAAGCTGGGGTTAATTTATTGATGAGTGGAGAAGCCACTATCTCCTCTGTTTCTCACCAGTAACAGGCAATTAGCCCCCAATCCTTCCTCAACAGAGGAAAAGACAGAGATTTTGTTTCATCAGTTTCCCTCCTCTCCTGCTCCCTTCAGCCCCAGCACTAATCGTTTGCAATCGGTTCTGCTGCAAAGCCTCCCAAGAGCTCCATCCGAATGTGCCTCGTTAGAGATGCTGCCCACATTGCATCTAAGACAAAGCCTGAGCCGATAAACAGCCTTTGAAATGCACAGCAAAGCCATGCAAATTGGCTTCTCTGAGAGCAGGTCGACTGTGCATACCTTCTTTTCTCCCCTTTAGTCATGTGATGTTTATGTTGGCTGACAAGAATGTGACCAACTCTGTTCCTGCATCACTTGGCCCATGCAGGTCCCTGGAGCATCAGCCTGGCAGGGTTAAACCAGTTGCTTTGCTTCTTTGGGTTTTGCCTTTTTTTCTCTGTAAGGGTGGTGTTTATTTTCATACAGGTGCATCGTTGGTTTGTAGACGTGCATCTGGTTTTCTGATAGTGATTCAGATGACATGCAGTTAAAGTGCTGGGATGAAAGTCCTGACTGCACTTCCAGTGGGGCCCAAGGGGTTCGTTTGTGACAGCCTCTGCACTTATGCTGCCAGATACGATGCTACCCATGTCCTAAACCCAGGGAGGACTGAGCCCATGGAGACATCCAGGAAGATGTTCTCTTTCAGTGTACTATTGGAGCAGGAGTCTCATGGCTCCTTGATGATAGAAGCATTCAGCACAGCATGCTGACAATGCCTCTGGGCTTGCAGAGCCACTTTACAATGCATAGTGCACTTACATGGCAGGTTTTAGGGAGATATGGGACCACTAGAGACCCAATTTGTGCATGTTTGGGAACTGAGGTGTATTTTTCTACAGCGAAATAATTTGGAATTTCAGTATTTAAGTAGCACTGGGACAGGAGAAAAAAAGTTTGGGATGATTTTTAATTCTCCTTTTTTCTCCCTGTTCGCAGCTGGAGTATTCCTATTCCTGCACATCACTGAATTTCCAGAGCTGGAGCTGTGATCCTCTTCCCTCTTTCATTCCTTGCTGTTTCTTTTGCATCTGATTTTACTTACCTGCTCAGCAGGTTGGACTATCTTAGGATCCTTCTGTGCCCCCCAGGACAAACAGCTTTGCTTCCTCTGATCACTTCAGAAACAGGGTTTGCAAAGCCTCAGGCATCTGGCCATTCTTTCGGCTTGATTTTGTCCCATTATTCACTGTTAAAAAAAAAAAATCTGAAGCAGAATACAGTTACAGTTACGTGTGTGATTCCTGGGATGACTGTGCACCAGTTCTGAAGGCTGGCAGGGAATCTGGGGACTCATCCCTCCTGCCTGCCTTCTTGGACTCTGCCCTGCCACGGGGCAGATGGTGCTGTGCTTTTCTCTTGCTTTTCCTTGCAGCAGCTGGTTTTCATGTCAACACGCTTCTTGGGTGCTGGAGTCCTGCTCTGAGCTGGTCCTGGTGACCGACAGCTCTGCTCTGTATCATTCATGGTTATAAATAACCGATCTGTACAACACTCTTGACAAAGCAAATGGCTGCATCGATGAGACGTGTGCTGCTGCACAGGTGCAACAAACCCAGTACAAGACAGAGGTTAGGGATTATTTTAGACCCTTTCTCACCTCTTTGCTCTTTCAAAGACTCCAGATTCAAGGGAAGCCTCAGCACCCAGCCTTTGAACCTCCTTGTGCTTTTCTCTGCTAGATTTCAAGATATAGCCATTACCACTAGACAGCTACCTAGACACCCCAGCCAGGCCAATGTCTGGGCTTCTACTCAGAATCCTCTTACTCAAGCTCAATTTTTACTTTTTCCCTATTGCTCCTGTCAGTCTTCCCTGATACTGAGTGTTTGTAGCCATCCTTTCTGAAATGCGTGCACTGGATCTAAAGCAGCAGTGCGGGAGCAGTCTATTCTCTGCTTTTATCACGCTATCAGAGTGCCATTCAGTCATGCATTAAGTGACATGACAAACATCTGTCATGTGTTGTTTGTTTGGTTTCCCATCCTTTCTCCAGGGTGAGATGTGTGTGCAATGGAGTGTTTTGGAATTTCTGTAAACACCCGTACGCAGCTGCTGACTGTTAGCTGTGGGGAAGACAAGGTCAGAAAGACAACGCACGTGTGAGCGGGAGACTGCCATGGTGCAGGCTTCCCTCTGAGTGAGCTCTGCCTTCTTGTTGCCTTGCATGGCATACCTGCCCGTGGGTTGAAGATCTAGTAATCTTTAAGGTCAGTTCCAACCCAAGACATTCTATAATTTTGTGATTGCACCTGCCCACCTCCTGGCATCTCCATGCGTCTCAGGCCATGTTTTGCTCTGGTGTTTCATCTCCAGATACCTCCTGCAAGGTCATTTTGGAGTTGTTGTCCTCCAGATACAGCTCTTATGGTAAATGGGCTTATGGACAATGGACTTGTCCATTCTGCTCTGTACATCAGCCTTCATGTTTCCTGTGAACTTTTCCAACACCAGCTTTACACTGCCTGCAAGATAATTGATAAGGCGAGTGATTAGCAGTGGGCCAAGAGCAGATCTCTGCATGGCCATGCTGGGAACACCCTCCTGCAATGATGACTCCCCATTAACAATTAATTCCCCATTAGCTATCACATTTTTTTAATCTTTCCTGTTATAATTCTGGATGCTGTCATTATCCAGCTGGCTGAAATGTCAGCTTTGCTCAATGCATGAGCTGGTTACAGAGCACTCCTGGTTGGGAAGCAAGGCTTGGCACAGCCTCTACCTGTCCTGCATTCTTCACTCTTTGCAAGTCATCTCAAAGCCAAAATGCTGCTCACATGGGCTTCATGGAGAGTTCAAAGAGCTAGAACCAAAGTATCATGCCGGATC